CTCACAGATGAAGGACTTTAATTCTCTCAAATCAAGCAAAACTGACAATCTCGCCTAGTGGCACTGTGTGTAGATAAGCGCCTATGGCTGTACCAGGCAGATTGTAGGTTCTGAATAAACATCTGTTGAATAAAAATAAAATTGGGATGTGCACACAAGCAATCTGAAGACCTAGAGCTCTGTCCACATGAAATCTCTCCCTCTTCCTCCTCCCTGCAGACAGCGTGGCTCTACCACTCCTTGAGGCCCTGTCAGTCTACAGAGCAGATTGTTTATGTTCTCACATTTCAAAGGAAAGTTTGGAGAAAGTCCATCTTGCTTAAAGACAGTGCCAACAAGTGGATAGTTTGGACAGTGTGGCTGACCTGTAGGAGGCCATCATGACCTGTGAGGGACCGTTCCTAAGCCAAATTTGGCATTGATCATACACGAGGCAACAAGATAGTACAAGCCCATGAGACTATTTCTTCCTCTTCTTCTAGTTCTTTTTTCCAAAAGGTTTAGCAAAGAAAGCAGACGTCTGCACCGGGAAGATCGCAGATCATTGAATAATTCATGAAATGTCATCAAAGGTGTCATTACAGATTCATGAATGTGGCAAGAAGATTTTTCCAGAGGAAAAGAGAAGACAACTTGAGGGGAGTGGGTGTGGCGCTGAGAACCCATTCATGTGCAGGTCTACAGCTCGTTCGTCACCTGCAGCACATGGCTCTTACACTACTTCACAGTGAGGGAAGAGTTTGGACAGTGTAGAACAAGATGTTCCCATATTTCTGCATTCGTTCAAAAGTCCTACGTTATGTTTTGTCTGTGAGAACAAGGTGTTTTGCTGAATCAGTCCATACCAGTTCCTGGACAAGAATCCAGAGCGCTTCCCATAGTTCTTAGCCAAAGCTGTTGGGGGACACTGAGTGTTCAGATGATGGGAAGAGGGTAAGACAGCTGATGGAAGAGTTCCTGCCTCAGTTTCCCACGACACACGCTGATGCAGAATCTACCAGATGCTGTCAGGCTTTTTAGGAACAACTTATGTTGAAGAATTGAGAGGTCTCAAGGGGTGGGAGCCATCAGTTCAAGCAGAATGTAACCTCATCTCCAGGCCAGAAGTGTACCTGTGAGTCTGGAGAGCCCTGGAGGATGGGGAGGAGCTAAGTAGGAGCTTCATAGACTAACCCACCATGTCAGATGTGCAGTAGGATATAATAAATACTTTGTGGGCAGCGCAGCACATGAGTGTAGTGCTTAAGTGGCATCCACACCCAGAGCTTAGCATCTTTTGGGAGCTTGAGCTGTGACTGCTAACACATCTGTGATGTCTTACCATCTCAACTGCAGCATCAGCTCCCTGTAGGATGCCAGTGGAGATGCTCAAACCCCAAACACCACCGAAAGCCAAGGGCTCAGACCTTTTGGGTGGAGTGTTCTTGCTTTTCCCATAGTTCCTGCATCTCTTGAAAATCTTGATATTTGAGAGACTGTAATATATTTTGTTCTAACACTTTTGTTGAGATCAGTGGATGCTGAACTGGAGAGCCTGAAGGAAGAAGCACAAAAATCACTGTGCAGAGAGGGGCAGGGAGAGCTGAACATCTTCCTCCGCAGACAGCGGTGGGAGTTCCCAAACACCCAGAATCCCTTTGAGGTCCCCGCTTTTTAATTAAAATGTATTCCAGTTTTACACGTTCCCATAGTATTTTCAATTTAATATGGAAATCATTTTAAATTACTTTGAAATTTGGTATCTCAGCTTCCCAACCCTGCCTCTGTCGTCTTCTGAAAGTAAGGAGCACATGCTCCTCTGTCTGATGCTCTCCAGTAGGACAGCAGGGAGGGAGGAAATCCCAGCTTCCAATGTGCACAGACCTAGGGCGACCCAAATTCTATGAAGCTTTCTTTCCTTCTGTATGATACAGCTATCAGAATGTTTTTCTACCTACAAAGGAGCACATCTCCATTTGGATTCATCTGGAGGAACATATTCTGTTTTTAAGCTTGTTTGTTTTGATTAAGTATAAGAGACATAATCTATTTCTACAATCAACTCTTCAAATTGGATGTTAAATCTGAGC